TTTCCGTTTTTTATTGTTATTTATGTAATATTAATTTTGTTTTACATTACTTAATTTTATTGACATGAATGTAACCTGTGTTATTAGCTATAATTACCTAAATAAATGCTTATATGATTGAATTTTATTTTCTTTGAATTCTTTTATGAGTATTATTTTTTTTCTAAATACAGTATCTTTATGAAAATTTCGGAGTCGCATTAAATTTGGGGTCGCGTTATATTCGGGCTAATATGATAGTAAGATTAGTGATTGACATGTTTCTCTGTAAATATATCTGAGAGATATTAACTGCTGCATACAGAAGCTCAGAACTTTCTAGAAACAGTCTAAAGAATGGTGGTTTTGACCTTGAAATGGCTCCAGTCAATGCAGTCATCACCTGGATAAATGTTATGTGCAAATGTTGTGTGTTCTTACTTTTAAAAATGACTTATACTGAACATATTGTAAATACAAAACTGCCTTTTAAATAGAATTTCCTGACAACTCTTATATACAGTAAATGTATTTTTTAAACTAGTTACAGTGAATAAATGTGTTTTTAAATTTTCATAATTACAACTGATAAAGAACAGGTGTTCAACAAAATGTGCATTGTCAGAAAAACTAGAATGTTATAACATGTACTATTGTTAGATAAAATCTTTATCATAATACATAATTTTAGATGTATTTATAAGGAAATAAAATAATGCAAAACTTATGAATTTTATTGATAAAATGAACAATCATTTATTGTGACATGATCACAATGCTGGGCTGCAATTTTTAATCATATTTTAAATTTATTTAATTCAAAATATATGCTCTCCACTTCTGGATTTAGTACTGTATAGTCTTGCTTCTGTACATCATACTTTTCCTTCTTTAACAATAGAGCCATGCTGGTCATCTATTAACTGCTATAAGGGGAAAAGTTTTGAATTGAAATAATGTAATTTTGAGTGCAAATTGGAAGTTTGTATATAGTTAATTGGGGCCTCCTGCCCCCAAACTTTCCATATCTGATCTCAGCTTATATCTATCTAATTCTGTTCTCGAGATTAAGGAAGGACAGACAGCCAGACAGACAATGACAGTAGGAATTTATAGGTCTACAATTTTTTCAAATTGCATCCCAATGAAAATTGCATTTATTGGTCATACACTGTCAACTTTGGCATCTTAACAATGACAAAGCTGATGGAGTGTCACCAATAAATGCAATATGTGACCTGTACAGTGAATCTGGCAGCCATGTTTAAATGGCTATCAGATTCACTGTACAGGTACTGCTTTCATACTTTACAATAAAAACTAACTAAACTAAAAATTCAACTAAAAATTGAATAAATTTAAAATGAAGATTGCCTAGTATTTATGTATCTACACTATATGGTGTTCAAAACGACAAAAATAATCACCGACACAGTTTCAAGAACGTAAAATAAGTTATTTTTTTCATCTCAATTGTTGGTACTACAACTATCTTCTTAGGCTTTGTTGCTTCCACATTCTTCTTGGATGCCAAGGTTAATGGGTATGAGTTATATATAAATAACTAAACACACCAAAAATAAAGTGAAAAAAGCACTGAAAACACATGAGCAAACTGCAAGAGATTCTTTCATGGTGAGAGACAGCTTGGATGCACAACAGATGGCATTTAAGCAGTGAGCTCATTTTTTTACTGTGTATGCAGTTCAAATATAGAAGCATCGTTTAAACTCAAACTTCTCTTGAATTTAGCATTCGAACTCTGGAATGTTCAAAGTTAATCATTTGGAATATGAGGTACCACTGTATTGTCTGGCCAACTTAGCTGTGATTCTTGACACAATTTCATGTGTAAATTAATTAAACTGGTCTATTTGTAAAATAGGGTGGTTCTTTTTCAGATACAGAACATAATATTTATTTGTGGAAGGACTGTTTTTGGAAGAAGAAAAATACATTTAAGTGATGTATCATTCTTCCAAGGAAAATGGATCTTTTAAATCAGGCAGTAATTTAGGAATTGATAGAATTTTCTTCTCTCCAAAATAGAAACCATGGATTGTTTATACATCATAATCAAAGCCATCAATTGCCATTGTTCCTAGAATGTCCTTTTTTGAACATTTTATCAGTGAAATAAAACTTGTCTCATCTTCACTGTTTGATTTTTGGCAAATTTTTTTTATTGTTTACTATGATACTTTAGCAATCTGACTTGCATACTTTGTGGAATGATCAAGAAGAATGATAAAATTGCCATTTTCAGCTTTTCTGCATTGAATGTTCTACAGAATCGTTTTGTTCTGCTGCAAAAAATTTGTTAAAACATTTACCCTTTATGGGTTAAACAAGAAAGCATACAAAAGAATACAAAAAAAAAAAAAAAAAGTTAAATTTCATATTGAATTCATTAACAACAAAAAATGAGTGCTTTAGAACAACTTCCTACCTATTACTCTTTCAAGACAAATCCAAAAGAATTGGAAAAATGTAAGTGACAGGCAAGTTTTATGTTGATTGAACTATATGTAATGCAATTTTCATAACTTATGTTGATTATTCTAAGTCTATATCTCTAGATTGACTTAGAATAATATAAGAGGAATTCTTGAATATGAGTATTTATGAAAAGCTTGTTTTATAGCATTCATTGTCAATAATTTAAAATTATCAGAATGATTTTACAATTAAATTTTAAAGTAAATCTTTCAGCATCTAATTTCAGAAAATTTCATAAAATTGTAAAGTGTTATAATGTTTTCATTTTTTATTTGAGTAAAAAGAACATAAGAGGAAGATATATTGAAGAACAATTTGATGCATGTTATAAAGTTGATAAAATAAAACACATATACAATAGCTTTAAAAACCATCATCCAGATCATTTTGCTGTTTGCAAGGTATTGTAACACTCAAGGGAAGAATTAAAATGAGGACTTTATTTAGTTCATCATTATCAGTATTTTGTTATAAAAATGTTTCATAATTAAGAATTAGGTTGTGAAGAGATGTATCAGATTCTATTACTGTCTATTATGACATCTATTAATACTTTTCAATATCATATATTATTTTGAATCATACAAGTGGTACAAGTGTCATTGATAGCAAAGTGGTAAGTTCAGGAAATTCTGTGCCCTTGTGTTGCATTTCATGACAGAGTTTTAAACAGTTATTTTCCAGCAAGATAATACTTAGTTTCGTACAGCTACAGTTTCTCAGGTGTCTCAGTGTGGCAATGTCTTCATCATATCGCCACACTTTCTTGACTTGTCTCATCTCCAGATTTGTTCTATTGAGTGTTTGTGAGACTATATGGGATGCCATCTATGATCTGGAACAGCAGTTGTAACATCTGTAAATAAATCTAATTGCAGGATAGTATATACTGCATGTATACTTCCATGTCTGACCATATCATCACATGTATCCAAGGCAAGAGGAGGTCTTAGAAGGTACTGAAGATTGATTTAAATTATACCCATTGTGTCACAAGAAATTATTCATTTGCCTATGACACTATAATCACTTATTAGTAGTTATTACTATAGTCGTTACATTTGCACTAGTAAAATTTCATTCAGCTTCAATGCCTCCACCTTGGTGCATAACTTTTTTTTGCCAATGAGTGTATATAATTTCATACTTGTCAACTTTACATTATAGATGAGACTGACTTAGTAACTAGGAAAGGCTGATTTTGAAATGCAAAGATCGAGAGCAAAAAAATAATTTGTAAAAAATTGTTGAAAAACTTGTGGCACTTTTAAGCATTTATTCAATCTTTATTCTTTTTATCACAATAACTGGTTTATAATATTGACTTTTCCTATTAGACAGATTAATAGTAGTAAAAAAGTAGAATACAGAATAATAATACACTGTACTATACGTAATAAGTATTATATGAAAAGCTTAGACACAGCTAAATATTACAAGCAGGTTGCTAAACAGTTAACCAAAAACACCAGATTTGGCATCAAAAACACTGAGTTGGCAACAATAAGTATTTTTTGGGTTTTTTTCTCTTTCTGAAATGTGGTTACTAAAGAGGGCCATTTTATGAAGTCTATTGTGGGGTTTAGCCAGGCCCCAATGGGGAGGTTGTGTGGTGAAGAATGGGGCTCAATGTATCTAGAATGGACTACTGAAAATTTCTAAGGGTTTTTTGATTATTCAGATTTGTTCCCAGGTTTAGGCTCTGGCCACTTGGTATCATTTGCCAACTGGCAATTATTATCAAGAATATTGCCAGATTTTCAAATCAGCTTTCTCATAGAATGGAAGATCTTATGTACGTACATTTTGAAATAATTTTGTAGATGTCAGTTTTTTGGGGAAAAAATTTAATTTTTCATAATTTAATCAGAAATTTAAAGTTTCCATTAAAATTCATGTATGTATAAGAGAATTCTTGTAGGTCTAGCAACATTGAAGTCAAAGAAAATGTGTAACGATGGAGAGTGGACAGTTTCTCAAAAAAAGCTTTATAAGCAAACTTTAGATTTTTTGTATTGGTCGTAAATTTGTGTTTGTGAACAGTGCAATAAAGGTGCTATGTTATCTCAGAGTGGCAGAGAATTTCTAATTTAGGCTAACAACCATTTTGAAAGGTGGATTCTCAGCCTTTAAAGACAGAGGATTAGCAACTATATAATTTCTTTATTTGATACTATTTTGAAAGTTTTTCTGAGTGCAGTGCACATTATTAAACATTAATATGAACTGTCTTTATTAGAAAATCATTTGATGCTTTGGCAATATTTTGTCATTCCCAGTTTTTTATTTTTTTATAAGTATTTACTTGTATATAAATCAACATAGAAAATGGTTAGATTGTTTGTGATGATTTTATATTAACACAGTTTATCCAAAATTAGAAGAAAATATGTTTTACATTAATTATTATAAAAAATTACCAGAATTTACTTTTTATTTATTTATTTTGAAATATATTTGTTTATGTATTAACATATACTTTATCTGTATATTATTTAATTAAATTAAAATTTTATATTTAGCTTTGAGATACACTACATCTGAAGGAGAATTAAAAGACAGTGCTGCCAGATTAACTAATAATTTGGTGAATGTTAGGTAATAAAAATATTTTTTAAATTACATTATCAAAATTTAATTTTAAAGTTTGTAAATTTTGTTTTTAAAGAGCAATTATTAATCATTTTACGCCAAAAATTGATACGTGGTCTGCAGCAAATCATTTATCAGCCTTAACTGAAGAGCAGGTAACATTTTATTGTCTTTATTTACGATGTTTAAGGTAAAAATTCTGAATCAATTGTTAAATTTAAGGTATTAGAAGTTGTCCGCAGTAATTATGATACTTTGACACTGAAACTTCAGGATAATTTAGATCAGTTCGAACGATATTCCGAAAAGCCTCGTGAATCATCATTTTTTACTCAAATGGTAAAATTATTTTTATTAATGGCTTTTAATTTTATTGAAAATAAAATTGATTTATTTAATGGCTTTTAATTTTATTGAAAATAAAATTAAAAGCCATTAAATAATTAACAAAACTTTTATTTAAGTAAAATAATAAATTATTAATGTTTTATAGGTTAGAAACATCATATCCGAATTTAGACAAAATTTAAATTTTACAACATTAGAAATGCATAATGTGCTTCAAGAATTTTCTACAATTAATTAAATTTGTTACATACCCAAGTTTTTATCTTCAGATTAAAGAAAGATGAATTATTTGAAATTTATCAAAATGTTTAAAATTAATTTTTTGTACGTTATTAAAATAATATATCTTTCATGTTAAACTACAAGTAATAAAGTTTTTCACACACCTTTCTCTGGAGTAAATAAATATTTAAAAATTTAGTTGTAAATTCTTCATAAGTTCATGAATTAATGTAGGAAATATTAATATAAATTTGAATATTACATTTATTTTTAAGTGAGAATGATTGTTTTTCTCAAATTATATTTATAAAAAGATTTTCTTTTACAAAATCAGGTTTCACTTTAGTTTTGTGATGTATTAAAATATATTCTTGTATATATTTTTTACTATTTCTGACTTCAGGAATCAAATAAATTCTCTAAAAAATTAGAAAAATTTTTGAAATACTCCAAAATTTAATAATTTTTAAATCAAAATTCTATATTCTTTTCAAACAGAGAAAGGATTTAAACTTGTAAGATTAATATTTGAAGATAGTAATCCTATTTTCATGAATTAATAATTTTTGTTGGATGTTAATGGGGTTTAAGTTATCTTTAGGATAATTTTTATGAAAAGATATTAAGATATAATAATCATTAAATGTTAATACAATAATTTTGCAATAAAAGTATTTTGTAATAAATTATAATTTCCTTTATTGCAAACATTAAAATGCATTTCCTTTAATGATAATGAGTTGCCTAAAATGAAGATAATTTCATAAGAATATGAAGTTTTCTGATGAAGGCATATCTGTTTAAATATTTATCCCAAGAAAATTATTCAGATTTTTAGAGAAAAATTTGTACAATTATGAGATTTAATTAGTTGCAAGATTAAACTATTTCATTGCCATGGTTCGTTTAATTTACATGTTTGTTATATATATATATATATATATTGACTGGATAAGGCCGATCGATGTGAATGTAATTTATATTAATTATCTACACATATCAGAAATTATCCATAACCGGTATTTTTTCATGTGTTCTGTATAATTAAACGCTGTAGAATGCTGGACATTGAGAATGATTTTCATATATGTGCAGCCGTTTTTATGAGACATGTATATAAAGTATGTATTGATTTAATGTTTTATTAAAAATATAACCAAATTATATTGACTCGTTTTAACTGATATAACACATTTAAATTATATATGATATAAAAATATTTTTTAAATTACATTATCAAAATTTAATTTTAAAGTTTGTAAATTTTGTTTTTAAAGAGCAATTATTAATCATTTTACGCCAAAAATTGATACGTGGTCTGCAGCAAATCATTTATCAGCCTTAACTGAAGAGCAGGTAACATTTTATTGTCTTTATTTACGATGTTTAAGGTAAAAATTCTGAATCAATTGTTAAATTTAAGGTATTAGAAGTTGTCCGCAGTAATTACGATACTTTGACACTGAAACTTCAGGATAATTTAGATCAGTTCGAACGATATTCCGAAAAGCCTCGTGAATCATCATTTTTTACTCAAATGGTAAAATTATTTTTATTAATGGCTTTTAATTTTATTGAAAATAAAATTGATTTATTTAATGGCTTTTAATTTTATTGAAAATAAAATTAAAAGCCATTAAATAATTAACAAAACTTTTATTTAAGTAAAATAATAAATTATTAATGTTTTATAGGTTAGAAACATCATATCCGAATTTAGACAAAATTTAAATTTTACAACATTAGAAATGCATAATGTGCTTCAAGAATTTTCTACAATTAATTAAATTTGTTACATACCCAAGTTTTTATCTTCAGATTAAAGAAAGATGAATTATTTGAAATTTATCAAAATGTTTAAAATTAATTTTTTGTACGTTATTAAAATAATATATCTTTCATGTTAAACTACAAGTAATAAAGTTTTTCACACACCTTTCTCTGGAGTAAATAAATATTTAAAAATTTAGTTGTAAATTCTTCATAAGTTCATGAATTAATGTAGGAAATATTAATATAAATTTGAATATTACATTTATTTTTAAGTGAGAATGATTGTTTTTCTCAAATTATATTTATAAAAAGATTTTCTTTTACAAAATCAGGTTTCACTTTAGTTTTGTGATGTATTAAAATATATTCTTGTATATATTTTTTACTATTTCTGACTTCAGGAATCAAATAAATTCTCTAAAAAATTAGAAAAATTTTTGAAATACTCCAAAATTTAATAATTTTTAAATCAAAATTCTATATTCTTTTCAAACAGAGAAAGGATTTAAACTTGTAAGATTAATATTTGAAGATAGTAATCCTATTTTCATGAATTAATAATTTTTGTTGGATGTTAATGGGGTTTAAGTTATCTTTAGGATAATTTTTATGAAAAGATATTAAGATATAATAATCATTAAATGTTAATACAATAATTTTGCAATAAAAGTATTTTGTAATAAATTATAATTTCCTTTATTGCAAACATTAAAATGCATTTCCTTTAATGATAATGAGTTGCCTAAAATGAAGATAATTTCATAAGAATATGAAGTTTTCTGATGAAGGCATATCTGTTTAAATATTTATCCCAAGAAAATTATTCAGATTTTTAGAGAAAAATTTGTACAATTATGAGATTTAATTAGTTGCAAGATTAAACTATTTCATTGCCATGGTTCGTTTAATTTACATGTTTGTTATATATATATATATATATTGACTGGATAAGGCCGATCGATGTGAATGTAATTTATATTAATTATCTACACATATCAGAAATTATCCATAACCGGTATTTTTTCATGTGTTCTGTATAATTAAACGCTGTAGAATGCTGGACATTGAGAATGATTTTCATATATGTGCAGCCGTTTTTATGAGACATGTATATAAAGTATGTATTGATTTAATGTTTTATTAAAAATATAACCAAATTATATTGACTCGTTTTAACTGATATAACACATTTAAATTATATATGATATAAAAATATTTTTGTGTGTTTGTTTTACATCTAATATATATAAAAAAGGTGAAAAAAATTCAAAAATGTAGTTGCGTTAGTGGCTCCATCTGTGATTAAAGAGAGTAAACAAATTATATAAATAGAAATTTGAGGAAGGATTTCAATGTAAAATTATTAATTTCGTTGGCATATTGAGTCATATTTTTTTGGCTTTCCTCATTTGCTTGATTTTATTGATTTAACAATATTGGTCTTATGATCTGGAAGTACAGTACAGTACATTGTATCCCCACACTAAAGCCTTGGAAGATCCCTCCTCCATAATTATCTTCGAAATGTTCGAGTGATAACACATTAGATCATTTAGATTTAGAATAACCCACAAATGATATAAGTTTAAACGGAAATAAGTCGCTATCGTCATCCGGTTGATGGGATTATGATCGGACGTGTAATAAATATAGAAATAGCTTAGTTATAAATATAGAAAATAAGATAACAGTTCGGAGGAGGACAACTACATTTCTCGAAAACATTCAGTAAAATTCATCGGTAGATACTGTATACAATTGTTTAGAACATACGTAATGGAAACGTCCGTAATAATTTTTATACATTTAAAAATTTTCCCGAAGGACGAATTAATACGAAAATAACGAGTTTTCAGTCACTGTTTTGCGTTCTGTATTCTCACAATAATAAATAAATTTACAAAAATTTAATGTAATAAATTTAAGATTTTTATCGTATTACTAACATTTATTTTATGGTAATTTGTATTGAATAATTAGTTACTAGCAATCTTTTTTTTTTTCTAACGATTATCAGTATTAGGTGTCTGTAATGATTATTTTGGCTTTAAATGAACAAAGAAATAGGTAAAACTTCATAGAAATAGTGCGGTGAGATTTGACACCATTTTATGAATACGATTTCGTATTGTATTATTAGTGTAGAATTTTTACAAATTCATTAAAATTTCAGCTGAAATCAGGTATATTCAAGTAAATTTTACATGTTGGCATTTAGTAAAAGTTAGAAGAAATCACTAAAATACATTAAAGTTATAATTTCTTTCACTATTGAACTAAATATTAAAAATTTAATAATTACAGTAAATATTTTAAATTTCCTCATTCGATTCATTTAACGATTGGATTTTTAAACTAGAAAATTTAGAGTTAAATATTGACGAATGGTCAATGTTAAATTTATATCATTAAAATTACGGAAAAATTGGATTTAAAAATATTGATAATTATGAATTAAGGAAGTTCTTTGAAAGAAGAGTTTTAAAAAGAACAAAACGGGAAGAACAATTCATTTATCTATAAATAAACCAATCGCAATTGATTGATAAACAGTTCTTGGAAATACACTCCTATAATATTAGACCTATATAAAGCCTGCATGCCCATAATGGATAGCTGTGGTTCTGCTTCTCTGTGGCGGTAGCTTCACACGTGCCAGTCATGTCTCTCCACCAGAAGCAAGTGCGCGTCCTTGAATTATTCGAGAGATTGAACTACATTGTTCGCAAACATCATGCTGTACCCGATCCTCGATTAAAGGACGTAGTAGGCATTTTGCCTGTTGGAGCTGTTTTTTCTTGTTTCTATCCTCCACACTTGAATGAAGCTAGGAGATTGTGCGAAGCTTATTTAGGTAAGAATTTTAGCAGATTTTGACAGTGACTATAATTGAATAACGATAGTAATAATTAAACAAATTTATAGCTGCAAAAGATTTCGATGATTTCATCGACTTGGCTAAGAATGCTCGCCAATTCGTAAACGAAACCTTATTCGCTTTTGCCACGGAAGTTGCTATACTTCACAGGGAAGATTGTAAGGGTCTGAGTGTACCTCCAGTACAAGAAGTATTTGTAGATAAATTCATTAATGCTGTTACCATTAACCAAGCATATATTCAGGCTCTTACCAGAACTGCAGCGGACGAGGTAAATTTTGCTCTAAGTTTTCTGTTGTTAATAATTAATAAGTTAACAAAATTCTGAATTGTTCTAGACCCCAATTATTGTAAATCTGAAAGAATCTGGCAATGTTTTGGATCCAGAGTACAAACTTGCCTATTTCCGTGAAGATATCGGCGCAAATGCTCATCATTGGCACTGGCACATTGTATATCCATCCATCTGGGATCCTAAAGTTTTCGGGAAGAAGAAGGATAGGAGAGGAGAATTGTTCTATTATATGCATCAACAGATGTGTGCTAGGTTAGTTTGGAAAGCTTTTAATCGTCCCACGTATTAACAGTTTTGAAAATTTGTGCTAAACTATTTTATTATATTAGATACGATTGCGAGCGACTTTCAAATGGCATGAACCGTATGGTGCCTTTCCATAACTTTAAAGAATTTTTGGAAGGTTATGATCCCCATTTAGCTCACTTAGCTAGTGGAAGATATTACGCTTTCCGTCCAGAAGAAATGGCTATGAGTGATATGAAAGAAGTAGATGTTCAAGACATGGAAAGATGGAGAGAGAGAATTTTGGATGCCATTCATCTTGGCCACGTTCACGATACTCACGGAAAAGAGGTCGCGCTTGATGACGAACACGGTGCAGATCTCTTAGGTTCACTGATTGAATCCAATGCGGAATCTATTAATCCTCTGTATTATGGTAGCCTTCACAACTGGGGACATGTCATGATGGCTCATATTCATGACCCCGATGGTAAATTTTTGGTGAGTATATTTATTTTTTGACTCGTAATTACTGCAATTGTACTTCAAAGTCAAAATTATGCTTAATTTCTTAGGAAACACCAGGAGTTATGACCGATACTGCTACTTCTCTGCGAGATCCCATTTTCTACCGTTATCATAGATTTATAGATAACATGTTCCAAGAATATAAAGCTCACTTACCAACTTACGGTCAAGAACAGGTACATTTTTTAATTCAAAAAATGACTTAACATCGGTTAAATTAGTCAAAATATTGAAAAACTACGTTTAATAATCGTTAAAGTATACACCATTTATTTATGAAACTTTATCTCGTATGTAAATAATATATAAAAAGAAATTTAATCCTTTTGGCAAACTTCTGTAATCATTAAATTAAAACTGCGTTAAGAAGCACTGTTTACTTAATGAAGTCATTTACCGAATATTAATCATCTAATATTTGTGCATCGAGAACTCTTTTGCTTATAATTTAACGATACAAAGTATTTGCTTAATTGCGAAAGAATACCAAGCAGATTATAATCAGATGTAAATTAATTTTCAGTTGAATTTCCCCGACGTATCAATTGTCGGAGTTACCGTTAATGCACGAACTAATGATGTCATCAACACTTTTATGAAAGAAGACGAATTGGAACTTAGTCACTCCATTAACGTTGGACGTCAGGGATCAGTAAAGGTAAATAAAATGGAAGAGAATATTGTGAAAATTAATGAAATATCTATCTATATTTCTCGTTTACTTCTTCTATTTCTTACGTTTCTCATTCATAAATTATTTAACCAATAGGTAAGATATCAACATTTGGATCACGAATCGTATTCTTATACTATCGACACAGTAAATAACGGAAGCACAGCTAAGAAAGCAACAGTCAGAATATTTTTAGCTCCGAAATACGACGAACTCGGTAACGAAATCCAAATCGATACCCAAAGAAGACTTTTCATTGAACTCGACAAGTTTACTACCGAAAGTAAGTAATAAACAAATTTAAAGAAGTGTATGGAAGTTGAAATTCTTAAGGATTATTTTCCATTAGTAAAACCCGGCAAGAACACTATCGTGAGAAGTTCGGTAGATTCCAGCGTTACTCTCTCTCATCAATACACATTCGAGGAATTGGAGAAGGGAGAAGGTTTGGACGAAAATAGAACCGAGTTCTGCAGTTGCGGTTGGCCACAACATTTGTTGGTACCCAAAGGTAATGTCAAGGGCATGGTGTTCCATCTTTTCGTCATGCTTACTGATTTCGATCACGATAAGGTACGTGACTTCATACTAGTTTCTCTGTTCCGGTAATTTTACCATCGCATCTCTAACGATGATTTTTTTTCGTTTGCCAGGTCGGCGATGGACTGAGTAGTAGAGCTTTATGTGCCGATGCCGTCAGTTATTGCGGCGCCATGGACGAGAAATATCCAGATAAGAGATCTATGGGATTCCCATTCGATCGTAACATACCCGTACACGATCATCACGAATTCTTGACTTCCAACATGTCCCTAAAAGAAATCACAATTAGATTTATTCCATAAATATCAATAAAAATTTTAAATCGTGAAACTAATTTTTTTGGGAAAATCGAAAAATTAGTTTCATTGATGTAAGACATTTCCAAATGAATTAAAATTAATTCGGTGCAACAAGAATAAAAATATGTAAAAAGATTTTCCGATAAATAAAATATTTTGAATTCATTTATAAGTCAAATTTTCTTAAAAATTTACTAAAATATATTTTTCAATTAATTAATTAAGAAAAGCGCGTATCGACTGTATTTACGCTTTAATGAAGATTGAATCAATTACTAAAGTTTGTGACATTTTTACTTAAAATACAAATGTTAACGATCATTGAGTTTAAATTAGTTGTGTTTATTGGCTGGCAATGGGTTGAGATTCAATTTCTTTTTATAATGGATACAACGATTATAAAATACTTCGAATTNTTCTTTGCGAAATAGAAAGTTATTTCGTGACGAGCTATCTCTGGATGAGATGTTTGAAATTCTTGAAGAATGAAAGAAAACTCTTACTCTTGTGATATGCAACGATTTTGGTATCTTTCCACTGTTCATTGCTAACGATAAAGAATTCTAAAGACGAGAGAGATACTTATATTTTCTCTTTATCCACTCAAAAGTAGTTTATTTTCGGGGAAAAAAAATATTGAATCTATGGATAAGTCTCATTATAGTTTAAAAATGAAATAAGTTTTAAATTTTGTCGTGCCCGATAAATGACGATAAAAT